ACACACATACTCCTTTTCATCTGACTTGGCTTGTTCCCAGTCTGGAACATTTAAACACCCTCCTGTACAAAATCTTTGGCTGTCTTCCTTGTTACTTCCATACCTTGTTCCTTTAAGAGTTTCAGTTACTTTTTGAGGCCTTTCAATTCACCCTCCTGCCTCTTTATATTTATTTATCTTTTGGAGGATGTCCCTCAGAGTTACCTCTGGGGATGAAAAATAAAAACACTTTACCTTCCTCAATACGCTTCTTGGACTCCTTGACCTCATTCACATATCCCCACTTTCCAGATCTCAGTGGAACCTCCACTTGCTGAAACCAGCGCAGCCTGGATAGCCAAGACTGGCAGCGGGTGCAGGGATTGAGACACAGAGGCTTCTTTTCAGGTGGAAGAACAGCAACCTTTATTTTGCCCAGCAAACTTTTATACTTCTACTCCTTCTGTGGAGACCCACTGTCCAGAAAGAACACAAACATCCTTGTCAATTACAGACCACAAGTAAGTTCCTCTGTCAGTCAGGGGGAATGAGGGCAGCTGGATCACAACTGGTTGAAAGAGGTTCCCCATCAGGAGCCAAAGTGTGTTTTTTTGGCTCTAGTTTAAACATCACAGTGTGCTTGTTTGGAATAAAGTATTTCACTGGCTCTTGTTTCAGGGCCTGGGTGGGTTTCTTTCACTGGCTGTGGTTTCAGGGACTGGATGGTTTTCTTTGGCTGGTCCTTCTTTCTTATAATACTTAGTCCAATACTGTTAAATCCTACAGACAAATGTATTGTGTCTATGTCTCACTATCTTCTAAAATGGCACTGAATTGTAGGCCAGAGGAAAACTGTGAAGCTCTTCTGGGAATTCATGCTTCAGTATGATAAATGTAATTTCCAGTGAACACATAATTTTCTATTCATAACAAACAATAGTGAATATCTTTTTATTCACTACTTGGTGCTTAAAAAGTATCAGAAGCTTTTTTTCTAGAGCAGTTTATTGATATTGCAGGATGATTTAATTATTAAAGAAGCTCCATAATGTTGAACAAAACTTGAATTCATAATTAACATGTTAGGCTCAAGTAGACACAAACCACTTCCTCTATTCAGGTTATTTAATCATGCTCAATTAAGTAAAAGGCAAAAGTAGCAAACATTTTGTGACAGCTAGCTTCGAAGTTATTTTATTCCTTTATGTGAGAACTGAAGTTCTCTGAATAAAACCAAATAAACCATATTGAACCTCCTCATTTTGAAGATGGATTCTGCTGTTATTTCTTTTTTTTTTAAGTTCTAGTTTTGAACCCAGTAAGATTTATATGGGAAAATCCATGTATCTTTTTCAAGTAAGATTGTCTTAATCACTTATCTTTGCATGTCTGTGTTGACCAACACATTAAGTACCCAAAATAAAAATATTATGGTTTATTAAATTGTTAATGATTGACCAGGGGATGATGGATGCACACCTTTAATCCCAACACTCCAGAGGAAAAGGCAGGCAAATCTCTGTGAGTCCAGGCCAGCCTTGCCTACAAAACAAGTTCCAAGACAGCCAGAACTGTCACATAGGGAAACCCTGTCTCAAAAAAAAGTTAATATTTGAACCCTTAATAGTTTTATTCTATTATAGGTTAGACTATATATAACGTGCAATATTATACATTATTATATCATATTTATGTTATACTATATTCAGTGAGGTATTATATAGCACATATATTTGATTATCTATGATATACTCTATATTAAAACATATAAGATATGTTTTGTCTTGTATAATATATTATAAATTATAATTTATATTGGTTATAATAATTATATTTTAAATTGCATTGTTGTATTTCATTTTATTAGATTGTTGTTAGATATAATTATGCATTGATTAAATATTAATAACATTTAATAAATTAAATATTAAATAAGGTATGTGATCCTGTATTATTAAAAGTTATGATAATCACTATTATTAACTATTAGATGCATTTCACTGAATTTTTTACCCCAGTCTTCCCTGATACAACGATACAGAAGGAAGGAGGAAATGCATTTTGCCCTTCTGTATATAACTACACTGAGTTTAGGCATTCAGGCCTTTTCGTATTTGCTAACAGTATAGGCTGATTGGAACTTAGAATGTTTCTACAAACACTACAAATACTATTTGACTGCATTGTAATTATACTATTGTGTGCATGGATTTTAGCAATTTTTTTAAATTCTAATTATTGACTAAGACACATGAAACCTGATTGAATGTAAAATCACAACACTTTCTGACCCAGTCATTTCTATTTCATTTGGTTTACATGAATATGTGTCTGTTCTATCAAGTTAAGTTGGACAGTGGTGGTGCATGCCTTTAAGTCCAGCACTTGGGAGGCAGAGGCAGGTAGATCTCTGAGTGCTGAGTTGGAGACAGGAAGATTTCAGGGTATTTGAGGTTAGTTGGGCTACATAAAGAGTTATGGAGCAAACAGGACTGCTGAATTAAACTTGTCTTAGAAAAAAAAAAACAAAATGCAAAGCAAAACCTTAAAGTATTATTGTAGTGTACAATGATCTTTTTTATGCATCTGTTTCTTCATAATTCACAGATTCCATTGAGATTTAACTGGTGAGTCTATGAGACCATACTTGGCATACTGAAAATATACAGAAGAATTAGAACTGTTAGTTTGAGGTCTTTTGGATTGTTGAAGGCCACTGTGAGAAGAGAAATGATGAGTATAAAGAATAATTTTATTTTACATACAAATGTTTTCAAACGTGGTTACAAGAAGGAGCTATTGCTCTTCTCTATTAGAAGGCCCAAGTCTTTTCCTGAGTCTCCTCATGGCTGACTTCATCTCCTGGTTCCTCAGAGTGTAGATCAAAGGGTTGAGCAGAGGGGAGATGACCGTGAAGGTGACAGAGATGGCTTTATCTGTAGGGAGGGCAGTGAATGGCCGGGCATAGACATAGATGCAGGGCACAAAGTGCAGGGTGACCACAGTGATGTGGGAGGTGCAGGTGGAGATGGCTTTCTTCCGTCCCTCTCCTGAATGAGACCGAAGCATCATCAGAATGACTGTGTATGATATCACCAACAACATAAACCACAGAGTAGCAACCAAGCCATTGTTGGAAATCATCAGCAGCTCCAGAACAAAGATGTCTGTGCAGGCAAGTTTGATGACCTGGGGGACATCACAGTAGAAAGTGTCAAGAACATTGGGTCCACAGAATGGAAGTGTCAGCAAGAGAGAAATCTGCACAATGGAGTGGATAAAGCCTCCTACCCATGAGGCCACTATTAAGCCAATGCAACGGCCTCTGCTCATGATGGTCACATAATGGAGGGGCTTGGAGATGGCCACATATCGATCTAGAGCC